TATCTAAGGAAAAAGACACTTTTGAGCAAATTAAGATATAATTCTTGCCTCAGACTTCAATTACCTGCACTTCCAAGTCATGAAGAGCCATTAGGAGCTCTGCCCTGAGCGTACAGTAGTGAACGTTACGAGTCCGAAGAAAAAGCGTTCTTAGAAACTGAAGAACCATGTCATACAGTTTAACGCTGGTTCCGATCATATGTGCCAACTTCTGCACAACTTCTCCTTGTCGGCGCACCTGTACATAAATTGCAATACGATCTTCGGTGACGTAAAATACTTTGTAACGACTTTCATTCTAGATTTACGGGCTGAAAGCCATTTCTGAAGAAATACAATTTCAAATGCCATCCATATTCCGAACATACACGTGTAGAAAGTCTTGTTACAATCAGTGTTATCAAAAAGAATATGAAGAAAAATTTTACCGTACCAACTACTTTTACAAGCTCGACTCATCGAGAGCAAATTATTTTTACAAGAATTAAAAACTAGTCTAATGGATTTGAAATTGCTCTAAAAATACATTTCTTATTTAAAGCATCCTCAACAACAACATGATTAAAATTATATTTCAACAACACATTCCAGCTTAATTGCTAGACTTTTAGGGACTTTAGATTAGTTTTCTATTACGGCTTTTACACTACAAATACACTTACTTTAGGAGATGGTAAGAAGAATAGATTCGAAAGATTCAGGTGATCAAAGAGGATATTTTCTTTTTCCTTTATGTACTGACTAAGTAACGGTGAAACCTCATCACCAAAAAGTGACTGGTTATCTTTCCAGATCTGCCTCTTGACTTCGGTGTCCGTGTCACCATAAAGCTCTCGGTCCCGAACCTGTAGAACATGCTTACTGTTGCATATCACTGACTGCTGAGTATCGTAACCTGATTCCATAATAAAAATGTGTATATTCATCTGAGAGTGTAATTAAACTATATAATTTAATTTTAACAGAACTGTACATCCATGAGCTGAAGTGCCAGCAGACAATATGATTTAACATGAAATAGTTACAGAAAAAAACTTAATTTTTTAATGATATGGCGTAAGAGATTATTATACAAAATATTCGTCATTTCTCCATTTTTTTTACCCGTATCCAGTGCGCACCATTCAGCATGGTGTGCATTGGTGGTTAGCAGGATTCATGACCCATCAGTACATGGGTTCGATCGGGACCACGACATTTAACGCTCCTGCTGTGACCCCCTTTTCGCGAAATGATGATGAAAGGGGAGTAATTGTTGGGATGCCACGGAGAAACTGGGGAATCCCCAGAGGAAAACTCCGTGATGCCTGGACCACGGCCTTGCCCAACACAAATTGTAAAACTGGGCACCGCCGGGAATCGAACCCGAGACCCCCAGGATTACAAGCCCAGCGTTCTAACTGCTACACCACCGTGGCGGTAGCTTCTCCATTGAAGAACCTTTACCAACAAATCTACTTTCAAAAACATTAATGACTGATATACAGAAAATTAATTTTTGATAATTATTTAATATGAGTATGAAACATAGTTTTTACCTTAAGGAAAGACCTTGGAAACAAAGTCTTCAATAAATTTTCCATACCTAAGAATTATGAAGGATAAATAAAAAAAACAGCTAGTGTTTTAGACAGCTGCAGACAAATTTTTCTGAACTCTTATAATTATGATAATATGAAAGTACCTGTTTGAATTACACAGAATAAAGACAATCCACTAAGCAGTAATGACTACGTAACACTACAACCCAGAAGACGGCCATCCAAGTAACATTAACTTACCAGTACTTTAAGGTATTTTTCATCTATGTGCGGTGTGTTACGAAGAATACACATAACCACTGGACGCAACGCTTTCACTCTGACGACCGGAAAGCTTTTGGCAAGAAGCTCCTTCAGTTTACGGTCCCTTTCCTTTCCTTCCTTTTGTCCAATCTCATTTATGTGTTGCACAAGTCTATCTCTCAATTCCTGAAACAATAGTCCAGACCATATGCATCAGAACACCCCATCAAAATACAGCTCAAAGGATGAGACTAAAATTTATGTTCAAGACGGGGGGGGGGGTTGTGATGGCTGCAAAACATGATCAGTTTGTACCTGTAACACATAAGCAGCAAACAACATATTTAAAAACAGTGGGCTGTCCAAATAACTGTATTCAAATAATCTTAACAAAACATGGTACACGGTATTGATCTACAGAAGTGTGATGTTCCTTAGAAGTTTTACACAAACCTCAAGAACTGACGTGTGAAAATCTAGCCTCCTCACCCCATGAAGATCTAGCAATGGCAACATTGGTCGAAGGGAAGGTAACAAAACGCCATTCTCCAACTGCAACATAAAAGAAACTTTTATGGGGATGTTTCATGTTTCCATCAAATGCTGGTCATTAAAATGTATCTTAATATTATCCTCTCATCTATGCACAATCTCCCAACTAGCTCTTCTTTAAAAATTTTACGACTTTAATGTTGTTTACATTTCTCATAGGTCCCATGGAAGTTTCACTCATCGACTTTATTACCCAATGATATTTGGTTTATTAATTATTAATGCCCTTGTCTTTCACATGAAAGTTGGGTTAGGATTTTAAGATTTGGTATATATTCCTCATATGGAATTGTAACTATTCTTAATAAACAAGGCTAACGTAGGACTCAACCTGACGCCTATATTATGCATCGTTCCTCATAATAAAAGATTACCTGAAACTCTTCAATTGCCTTCAAAGGATCTGTACAACTTGTTAGGGCATCTCTGAGAAAGCTTTGACCAGGAACACCGACATCTTCCAGTCCCGTTCCTGGCATTTTCACGGTACTCATGTTTGTCTACTAAATCACTATTTATTCCATCACAATATAAACTGCCACAAACAACACGTACTTAATATTGTGAACATCAATTACTTATTTGAACGACGACTTGTCCGGCCATAACAGCAGACATGATTTCCCGCTCATGTCGCCAAGGAAATAATATAAATTTCATACATCCTTAAAAAACTCTTTAACGTGAGTTTTATTTGAAATGTTTTAAAGGCTTATTTTAGCAATAATTTCAAACTAATGTATTTTAACAACTATATTCTTTACATCAAACCTAGCAATTTCATTCACCGTAGTTGGCAATTCTGATTACACAAATGACGACTGATGTACGTTGTGTACGGCTGCTGATGTGTAGGTTATGTTAGTACAGTGTCGTGGCTTTATACCATATAATAAAAATGTTCATTGTCTTTTCTTCGTATAAACCAATCGCAGTAACTAAATATCAAGTTGAACATCACAGAGTTGAAATTGAGACTGAGGAATGCTACGTTAATTTTTTTTCAGGGTGACAGTTCTTGTGTTTGTGTAAACTAAAGGGATGAGAAAACAAGTTGAAATGGATTCAGTCGAAAATAGCAGTAACCTGAAAATACCAAAGGTCCGAAGGGAAACTCAGAAATTACCAAAACGCGTCAGTGAAATGAGGTAAAGAACAATGGGTAAAAAACCAGTTGTAACTGAGAAGGTGGGTTCTTTGCTAGATAAAATATAGACTCATCGGCATGGAGTAATGCAGCTCTCCACCTCCCAAATCATCATTTGTTTTAGCATATTCACAAACGCTTTTCGGTAAGGAATAGAGTGCTGACAACATTTGCATATATTACATGTTTCCTCAATACTGTAATTTATATTTCAGCAAAGAGGCTCTAGAAGCAATGTTAAGGAAAAAAAGAGAATGTAATGCCAAAGCACTAGAGATTGTGGAACGCTTGCTGGGGAATACTGTCAGTGAAGAATGGTTTCTTGATTGCGTGAGTTTATTGCTGTCATGTGTGGCACTAAGAATATTTTCATAAAACTGTAGATAAACTTAGCTACTTCCATCCTCTTATTCCATCAGTTTTCTCTTTGAACATCACAGCCAAGTGCTTACAATTTTGTTTCATTTACATTTACATTACATGTCTTTATGACAACTTTATCTGCATTTTACAGCTAAAATTCATAAGTGAATGTCATTTCCAAGACATCATAGAAGAAAGATCAATTTCAATGATCTGTGGGTATCCGCTTTGTCGAAAGACGCTGAAAAATATTCCCAGTCAGCAATATCATATATCTACCAAGAAGAATAAAGTATATGATATTACAGAAAGGAAGGTAATGGACTTTGAATACTACCATTTTGAACAGAGAAATCAGGTTATTTCAAACATATGAAAGCTTAATATGTTTCAGTGCCAGTTTGGAGCACTAAATCCTGTTATGCATGAATACCAGAGGCAACTAAAGAGATAAAACATGTGATTAATGTGGAAATACCGCTAATATAATTTCTCTTTACAGAAGTTTTGCAGTAATCACTGCTACAAAGCATCATCGTATGTGAAAGCTCAGTTACTCACAAGTCCTCTCTGGATAAGAGACAAAGAAGAAATACCTAAATTTACTATTCTTCCAGTTGAATCACCAAGGTAGATTTGTAACTTGGGAGGAATAGTGTTCAGAACAACTGCTTATAATGAGTAACTAGTGTTGGTAAATGATGATGGCTGAAACAACATATGGCACTGATGTTTGTTCTTTTATTTTTAGTGGTGGCATCGGGGAAGAGATAGACATTGGTCATATCAGTTCATTAAAAGAAGAATTAAAACAGCTACATAAACAAGAAATATCAAACAAATTCACTTCAGTATCTCATTTTACAAGAGATTCTCTTTCACAGCTGGTATCAGATACTGAAAGCGATGATAAACAAAGACAACCAAGTACAGAAAGTTACATGAAGGATCAGAACAAAACAGAAGTAAAAGATGGATTTAATGAAGTCAAGAGCGACTTTAAAGAAACAAAGAGTACGGATCAACTGGAATTCCAGAATGAAACAATACAAAATGTTCATATAGACAATGCAGTACAAAGTAAAGAAACTTCTGAAGCAGTTGATACACAAGATGTTAACGATTCTCAAGATAACAGAACAGTAAGCCCCGATAAAATTCATGACAACAGTTGTAAAGTGTCCAGTAATTTCACAGACTTTGCACGTGACAGCAGTGCAATTCATAAAGTTGAAGAAAGAGGCAGTGACATTTTAAGCAACTCCCCAAAGTCAGTATGCAGTAAAATACAAGAATTAAAACCCAAGAAAAACATACAATCAAAGAAAAAATTACTACATATTCCTGCCCCTATTAAAAATGCTGTAATTCATATAGAGAAATGTTTGTGTGAATGGTTTACAATTGAATCAATGTGCTTTCTTTTTGGAGAAGAGAAAATTAAAGTTATGGTAGAAGAAAAAGGGGAAAGCATAAAGGAGTATTACAAGGTTGTTGGTAATGCTTCATGGGATCCCAAAATCCAAGAGCAATATATGGCAATCTGTCGGCGCTTGAATATAATGGAGATTGAAGACCGCGAGTATGACAAGCAAACGGCGACAAAACCTCTTCCAGATTACACGGCTGTGAGAGAAGAAGCAAAGAAAATGGATCTTAAAATAAGGGCATATTATCAAGGGAAGACAGTGTATGAAAATGAAGGTGGTATAAGGATTTCTGAAAAACGCAGTGATTCTGCACCTGTACTGCCATTAGTGCACCTCCATGCCCAGAATGCACTCCGTAGAAGAATAGTGTTGGACCGTCTCAATCGGACGTAAGATCATTCTGCTATTTATTTATTATAAAATGCCCACAAGCAGCTCTTCAGTGGTAACTATGTGTACCACCTGCTTTAATAATCTGTAACTCTGCATTTTACCTACAGAGTATTCATGGGTTTGATTCTCAAAGAAAATGGCATTTTCCTAACCAGCATTAACCCTTTAATGGACATGTGTTGTTTTCTTTGTGATAGGAAAACTCAAAAAATTCATCTCATTTTGAAGGTCTTGTTTTGTAATGTGTAACAAAAGTATGTAACCAGTTGGAAACTAAATCTATGTTCTTTCTTAGTTTACCTGATTTACTACGAACGTTTGATTTATCTTCGCGTGATGTCAGTGGGGATGTTAGAAGCCTTGTTACCACCTTCAGACTTGGAGCCGACAACATAACTTTCAAACCACCTGAATGGAGTTTGCTTGGTCTCATCATTCTTAAAATGTAAGGTTATTGCAAACTTTTGTTGCATTATGTACCCAAGTTATTTGCTTCCAGTACCAAGCTTTCTTGACAGAAAACACGAGGTAAAATAACAATATAAATTTTATGTAAGTCAGAATGTCTTTTTGCACAAGGGCTCAGAGAAATTCAGAACCCCAAGTATTACATTGAGAGGCAACTACAGTATTCCTGTCTCTAGATTTGTGGCTTTCTTGCAGGTTGTCCATAAAGGATAAGAGATTACAGATTCTTCTCGACAGCGAAAAAGTGATGAAGTACACCACCATGATGCTAATGAGTTTTCAGCAAGATGGAGGCTACCTGAATAGACTTATGGCTTGGCTGACAGATATAGATAATTTACTGTGCAAGCAGTAATGAACATGGTGTTTTTACGTGAATATAAGACAAACTTTTGTCCTTTACTGTATAATTTAAATATATGGGCCTCTTTAAAAAAAATACTAAAAAATAGTTTTTATTATTGTTTTATGACACTTAGTACTCCAACACTTTCTGTAAATATTCTTACTTTCGTTTCATGAGTATGACGAGAATTTTACTAATTTCTTTATTTTGGATTTTTGTTTGAACTGTCTCCACAATGCATTCCATTACAAAGGATGACGTACAGAGGGAGATATCTCCTGTGCTACTGGTACGCCAGATCAAACAGAGAAGGTGTCTCCCACTGTATCTGTTGATGAAGATCCATCCTTTGAAACACTGTGACATTTAAGATAATTTAAAAATTTTCAACACATGACAAAATAAGTAAAAAAAATCAGCAGCACAATATCATTGCCAAAGATATTCAGAGAAGAAAGAATTTTATTTAACTTTTACTGTTTTCTGCAAGCACCGTCAGACAAATGGAAGAGATTCAGTCCTCAAGGTACCGTGTAGGAACTCGTCTCTGACGGACATAAATATTACTATTACAATTCAAATTTCTCTCAGCACTAAGAAACTCAGAAGGCTGAATGAAAAATTACATGTTCATGTCAGTAAATTTACACAATAAAAAGCTGTAATGTGGGTGCCTTACCTTTTGTCTGTCAGTTCCATTCCAAATGCAACGTGTGGGCCATCAGTTATTGGATGAGACATTTTGGAGTCCTCAGTGTTCTATTGTTTGTATATCTGCAAGCTTCACCCATGCAAATTTGGGAAATTGCTGCCTCAAGCTACAGGTAAATGAAATTTCAGATTCTCACAACAGGCATTATGAAAATATCTTCTGGGATGTTGCACCATGTCGTCTCATGGAGACTGACATTTCAGAGGCAGTAAGCACCTCCAAAACGTCAGTCAGTCTCTATGAGACTACATGGTGCAACATCCCAGAAGACAGTTAGCTTCACAATTAAATTAAATATATGGAGATGTCAGGAAAATTATAAATAGGAAGGGAAGCACACCAGCACAAACTGGAGTGATTCTTCTTCTTCATCATCGTCTATGGGGTTTTCTCGCGAAAGTACCACGGTGATTTCGCCTTGCCTTCCGTGCCCAGTCTTTACCCACCAGACTGGAAGAGGAGACGCGGACAAACATCCATGCCTTCAGTGGGACTCGAACCCACGGTCGCAGCGGCCAGGCGCGCAAGGACAACGCCTCAGACTGCGAGGCCACTGCGCCGGCTGGAGTGATTGAAATGAATCAATAAATCTTCAACCAGTGCACTCTTCAAGCAAATGAGATGCACTACCGCATAAACCATTAGCTGCAAGTGTTTTGATTATGGGAGGTAAATTTATGTACAATATTTTATTAATGTTTTTATAATAAATTGCTTTAAGAATTTAATAACATTTCACTGTAAAATAGTTACACATTCTGAACATATTACATAAGCCACAACAACATAATAATGCTATGATTTGATTCAGAATTATAGCTTCGCGGAACATAGAACAAACTGCGTATCTTTCAACATAACTACACAGGCTAAACCATTCATTCGTACAAAATAATGGATATATGCGCTACAAATTGGTACAATACCTGAAAAATACAACTGAGTCTGACTTTGGGATCAAGCAATGGAGACAGAGTAAACTTTCATGAGTATTAATGTAACACTGAGCACTTGCAAATTACATATTTCATGCCAGAATATTAAAAGATGACAGTGCGAAACCATATATTCAGCATATTAAAATCATAACAAATAACATTTGTTTGCTATTTATGCTCGTACTGCACAACGAACCCGACAAACAGATTAATCACACTGCTAAATATTGAAATTTATCCATCAAATATGACACTGTGAATTGAACAAGCTGACAGATGATCAATAATTCCAGGCTGATTACAGTTTTAAAATTTATTGAACAATGTTTTTACACTTGTTACCAAACAAAAACCATATTTCTACATATTATTACAATGATAATTTTTTTTTATTTGGTGACAAAATCTGTTCTAGCTTACATAAATATATGGCTTGAGCACCTTAAGGAGATTAAAGGCCCACACTTCAGCTGGCATATGAAAAATATTTGTAAAGCTTTTTCATTTCTTGCACTTATGAAAACAAAATGCCCTGGATATCAGAAGCAGCTAGGCTGAATTCTGAAAACCGTTTCGCCGTATTACCCATGAAACTTCAAAACTAGACTTGCCAGATAATACGCAATATTATGTAGCCCAGATCAAAGCTCGAGCTTTCCGGTGGCTCCGGTGGGTAGCGCTCCATACTCACCTTGGCTGTGACTGGTTCTCGTTCTCTTCAGCTTTCATCCCCTGGTGTACTGTTACCTGCAGCTGTCATGTCCATATTGGTCGACTGTTGTGATGTTCCTGGCTGTTGCCGTTGATCTGTTGAAGCGTGTTCTTGTTGATCCACTATCACCTGCAGATAAAAATATGTAGAGCTATGAGATTTCTGACTCTCACAGCGATGAGTATGATGTTTCAGAGATTATTGCCTCCATCATTTGGGCAACTGCCCTGATGATGGGGAAATGAAGCATGGCAGAAATAATTTCTTGATCAAATTACAGACAGAAAATTATGCAAATAAACATAATTCGTAAATATGCTATGATACTTTCGGAATCTTTTGCCAACAGATAAATTTCAGTTCCTCTAAAATGTGGAATGAACCATCTTCTGGGTTGACGGTGCAGTAGTGTAGTTCATGTTCTATGATCAGATAGTTTACCGTCTTGGAATACAGAAAAAATACACTTGACAAATTAAAACACCTCCAACATATTAATAAAGCCAGTTTCCCATAACAACATTTATATTTACGATAAATTCTGCACAAGAAGAAATGTTAATGTTTTTTGTTCTACACTGATTTGAACTTACCTGTAAATTCTTCATTTCCACACCCTCGCCACTCAAAATTCCTGAAAGAGGACCTTCAGTTGAAGTGAGGGACTCTGATAATGGTGAGCTACGAGGGCTAAAACTGGATGGTGCTGCTGACTTGTCTGCTGACCCTGCAGAACTGACACTGACTTCCTGGGCTGCACTGCTATCTGGTGACCTCGTACTTTTCCCCTTGCTAGCGTTCTCTGCCAACTCCAACTGATGATGCAGTTCCAATATGTGACTTTCCAGTCTTTGTGTGATGGAGCGACTGGTCTGATACTTGCTTTCAACTGACTGTTTTAATGAGAAAAACATGACATAGGATTGACTTTGTTCTGGCACTGTAATTTTTCATATCACCGAACTTTCTTCGCTGTAAAGGACACACAATTGTGATAGGGAAAAGAGTAAACATTTTAAGCACTAATATTGTCCCAGCCAGTGCAGCAAAACTTGCAAGCATGAAATTAACCCATAAAAATATTACGTACCTCCAGTTTTTCTTGATATTCTTCCTTCACCTGTTTCAAGACCCGTTTCTGATCGGCAATAATCATGTCTCGTCGTGTCATCACAGATTCCAGTTCAGAAATTCGAGCTTTTGCAGCTTCCAGAGCTGAGTTCCTTGCTTCTAACATCTCGTTAATTCCTACAGACAACAAAACATGTACTAATAAGAGAGATGCTACAGCATCTTACACAACTTCAAATCAGTTTGGCAAAATATAATCTGCAACTCTTGATAATAATGAAATATCTTACGCTTCTTTCGTAATTATGGACCACACTTTGTAATGCAGGCTCCTGTTTAACACTATAATATAAGGATTTCTATATGTCTGCAAATTTATCAATTATGAACATTTTATTTTTAATTCTCCTAGGATCTCTTCTTAACTTACGTTACACGCAACTGTGGTAATATGATGTTAAATCTACCGAAAAGACTTTCAGAAAATGATTTCCAGCTGTTCATCTGCATGGCAAAAACATCAAAATACAAACACTTTGTAGGTGACTAATCCACAGAAGGTTCATTACAATGTTTTTTTGCAGAAATAGGCTAATTACTTAATTATCAGATATACTGGGGGAACTGGGATACTGGGACCGACACATTCTTCAAGTGCCCAAGCACTGCGGGTCCCAACTTTTCGTTGGCTTGATCTATAGGCTTTCGGTGGGACTCCTTGGATGAGGGATCGGCCCGTCGCAAGGCCTCTACCTGTACACAGGACAGCACAACACAGAAAAACACGGACAAACATCCATGGCTTGAGTGGGATTCGAACCCACGGTCCCAGCGACCAAGTGGCACAAGGCCCATGCCTCAGACCGCACGGCCACTGTGAACCCCATTATCAGATATGTAAGTTACAAAGTGGAACTCTAGCAGTCATAGGGCAAAATGTCCACGACAGTTTTAAACAAAATATCTTTTAAACTCAAGTGACACTACGAGGCCATAAGCAAACATTAAAATAAAACCTTTGATTTCTTCGCAGTAAGAGTCTTGCAAATGTGACACTTCATCTTCATAATGCCTGAGGAGTGGTAACTGAGAGAAATGATCTCTGTACTTCTGCTGAAGCTCTCCCATCAGAATAAGCTCCTTCTGTAACTGTTCCATATCCCCACGTAACTGTTCTCCAGCGCTCGCCTGAGCTATTGCTTGCTGCATTTCATTTTCAACTTCAAATAACTTTGATTGCACCGTCTGTAATTCCTACGCAAATAATACGGAGCATATAAATATAATAAACACTGTTATAAATGTGGTTTGAAGTCCTGATTACCCATTGTGTTTCAATGCAATGTAAGATGCAAATTAAATGTGCATGGTTTATCAGATAAATTAAAATTACCTTTGTAACAGCTGCCACCTTTTCCTTCGCTTGCTTCAGTTCTTGTTCTAATAATTCATTTTTACTCCTAAGATCTTTTTTGTCTTTCTGAAGAGTATTACACTGTAACAAACACAGCATACTTAAACCTCTCACGTCTATAACAAAAACATATACATTTAAGCAAAAACGTACCCGGAAGCTATTATGAAACTGGAAGTGATTCGATACGGGCAATTTATTACATTAAACGCACCTGATTTTGCCAAGAATTAACGTTTTCTTGTAACTGCTGTTCTGTTACATGTAGTTCCTTCTTTTTCTTTTCACGTTCATTGTGCAAGTTCTCGATGTCCTTCTGAAGCAGACTCAACTGATCACGCTAAATAAAACAACAAACAAGTTCAGATAAAAACAAAAATGCTTCTGTTAGATTTACGGAAAAGATGTCATAAGTTCCAACCCTTTCTTGTTTATAATCACATTTTTTTCTTCAGTGAAAACTATAAAGGAAATTAAATCTGTCCCATTACACGCCATGAAGAGGCACAGCTCATGCTCATTCCTGACCTCACCACTAGATAGCGGTGAGCAATCAGCATCACACACCAGCTACACTTTACCCACATAGAAGGGAACCCCAGTACCCATTTGACAAGAGGCTGGGTGCACCCTACAACCAGGCTAAATACAGAGGCTAAAAGAAAAATTCCATGCCTCTGCCAGGGATCGAACCCCAGTCATCCAGTCAGACATGAAATTGACTGAACTTCTTCTTCTTCTTCTATGGCTCTCCGGTCCGTATTCAGTCCACGGCCTCCTCATTTATCCTCTTCCATTCGGTCCTCTGTTAGGTCTGTCTGTCCGAGGCTTTGATCGATGTTTCGAAACATCTTCCTTTTTACGGTGCAAGGTTGTTAGCCTTGCGACCAACCCCCAACCTGGAGGACCAGGGTATCACTCTTAGTTTGACCTCTCCCCCTCGACCAATCTGGCTAGGGAGGCCCTACCAGTAGCTGTTGGGGTCACTGAGGTACTCGAGCCCCACTACCTTTAAACACTCATGAAGACACCTATTCATATCATGGCGTACAGTGTGAGTAAATTACTATCACGATAATCAAGTCCCTATTTCTGAGCCACATGAATCCAGTCTATACCCTCATATCCTATTTTTTTGTAAGATCCATTTTAATATTACCCTTCCAGTCTTCCATAATGTGATAGTACTTTAAAATAAAACCATCTCTGAAATCAACAAACAAACTAACCAGGGCAGAATTATGTTCCTCTAATGCTCTATTTGATCTAGACTTTCCAAGCAGTCTTCGGTTTCTCTCGGCATGAGCTTCTCTTCTGTGCCTTTCAAACTGCAACTGGATATTAAGCAATGTTACTTGTTCGTTCACCGTCTTTAAATCGGCCTCCAAGCCTGAAAAAATTCAAATGTTGATTACATATGAATATTTTTATAACTGGATGTTTTTTCTGCACTATATGAGAATTATGGTCAAAGGCAATAGCTTTTTATAATTTAAAATTTGTGATAGTTTATTTACACTAGTGAAGGACAGTCAAACCTTTCGATTCACTTGCAAAATGAAGTAATGACCAAAATGCACGACAGTCTCCCTTCGTAAACATCTCTCTTCAGAAATGAGACAGTCGACTGCAATTACAGTTTTTCATATCATTTTAAATAGAACTCAGTACAATTTAGGACAACTGAGGGAACCAAAAGAAAAGGAAAGGAAACATGGACAAATATGAAACATGAAAAAATTAAATTAAAAATTTTACCGAATTATAAAACCACGCTGACGCGAATGTATAAAGAAACTCACCTTGAATTTTTGATTTCTTGGCATCTTTGTCATCCCTAGCATGACCTTGAACAGCAGTTTCAATGTACATGTCCAGCATGTCATATGGAGAACACCTTGTAAATAATTCATTGTGATGAAACACTTGAATCGGACTTGGTTCTACGCTTGGTTTCACATCTCCATTTTGGTTCTGAGCATGTTCTACTGGAGGAAAGGCTCCCAAGAACAAATGCTCATATGGCAGTGGACTCCAATGATCTACTGTCTGTGTGCTTGCAGTTGACATCTGTTTCTTTGAATCATGAGACATTTTTGCAATTTTATCTTCACTTCCATTGACTGTATAAAGATGCTTGTTACCACCAAGATTAATTAATATGCCTTCTGATGCTTCCAGTTCTTCTCTTTCATCTAAACTTTTACCAATATTTGCATCAGCTCCTGGTAGTACTGGACTCTTCTTCATTTCAGGGTAGGAATTTGCTCGACGAACATGAGCCTGGTGGAAAAGGGCAGAACCCTCGCCGGGGCTGCTACCGGCGCTGAAATCAGATAAACCTGATCCCTTTGTATCCAATGTGCACTGACTGTAAAAGCGTTGGCGATGCTGCTGATGAACCCGACGAGCAAATTCTCTCATTGAACGGCTAGTGGGAATGTGGAGACCACCTGACATGCAAGGAGAACCACTCTCTTGTTGGCATTCTTCATAATCATCCACATGAGGGGGGTTGATCTCCTGAAGTACGCTATCACACTGCCTCTGTGATGATGACAAAGTACTCTGAAACGAACAATTCCACATAACAGACACTCAATAAATACAACAATTAGTTCCTGTAACTCCTAAGTGGAGACAATTAAAAGCATTTCAAACACCCTGAATGAATTCCACTGAACAAAAGGAGTTATGTACACCAATTATATTTAATTTTCTTACCATCTGTTTCGGTTGTGTGTCTATACTCCATTGCTCTCCCTGCCTCACAATTTCCAAAACTTCTTGATCTTCTTGCGAGGTATCAGCATGCGATGACGTTCCAGTCATATCAGCAGAATCAAATATAAATCCATTCTTTTCTGGCACAGGCCTGGCAACGAACCATTCCTTTCCTCCTGGAACTGGGGCAGTAGGTTCCATGTGTACAGGACTATTGGGTATGCTCGTTTCGTTTGCAATGCTACGGAGAGGACTAGTAGGCTGTACCCCAGATGACGTCTTGGACCGAAGATTCAACGTTGACTGTTTATCACCTGCTAAAGCATCTATCACCTGCAATGCAGAAGTGCACTTATACATCCAGAATAAAAAATGATCATATATGTTCAAAGTTTCTACAAGGACAATACAGAAAAATACTTGTTAAGCAGCGTCACAAGGCAGTCTGATTATTTCAATTATTTCATTTTAACGCAGACAAGCAAAAACTGAGATTTGCTGTTTCAAATTCTTTTTCCTTTAAAATCATCATTCATTCACACCACTCCCAATACCCATAATACTCCTCGCGGGTCTATTAATATCACAAAACATAAATGTTTTTTTTGTTTGTCATCAGTTTTTCGACAGGTTTGATGCGGTCCTCCATTTTCGCCTATCTTGCGCCAATCTCTTCATTTCCGCATATTTTTTACGGCCCACATCCTCAAAAATACATTAATATATAAACATATAATTCTAAATAATTAGCATACCTACGCACACACCAATGAAGTAAGTGGGAAGAATAGTTTCTACACAAGAATACAGAAAAAAAGAACAGGTAGTTACAGCATCAATCAAAGCCTCGGACAGACGGACCTAACAGAGGACCGAATGGAAGAGAAGAATTGAGGAGGCCATGGACCGAATATGGACCGGAGAGCCATAGAAGAAGAAGTTACAGCAGCAAAGAATTATGAGAGGTGCAAAGTAATCCATTAACCTGAACTCGATCCTGCTGCACCCTTTGTATTTTCTGCGAGAACAAAGAGTCACGCCGTTCAAAAGCCGACGGTATAGAATCCCGACGCAGCTGCTCAAATGCTGACTTGGAAGAAATGTTGCCTTCCGGAGGGAACCGGAAAGGTGACGGCTCCTTCTTCATTGGGGACGAGGGCTGAGACTGAGTGGGTGTCGAACTGCCAGATGTAACTCCTGCCCACTTACCGCTGCTGAAGGATGTGAGAGCTCGTGGTACGCTCGAGTTTACTGGAGGGTGTCGTCCCAAATGCCTCATATCCTTTAGGAAAACACGACTATAAAAATATGTCGCAACATATTAACTTTACAAGATGCATCGTAAGAATCAAAACTTGACGCTGATCCCTGGAAGCCTGGGCACGCTCACATTTTTAAATTTACAAGTTTGAAATGCCATGAACATAAACACTCTCACAAATTAAATCAAAAAGTGTTACCAAAACGGTACATAACGCACTACAAGACTGTTTTTATATCCCTATTCCGGCAGTTATAATAATACACATTACTCAAATACGGTTTTTATATTAAGAAAAGAAGAAATAACATTTTACGTTTGTACCTTTATGGGAGTTGTTTCTGGTGTGGCTTCAATAGCTGCTTCTGGAGGGGATGAACCTTCTTGGTGCGGCAAGGAAGCACTCATAATGTAGCCCTTGAAGGGGGAAAAAAATTGGTCACAATTTTAAAGAAAAATGTGAACATAAAGTAAACAGAAGTCTGCAAAAAACTTCAAGAATCATAGCGCTATAAAATTATGAATACAAGTTCCAAGATTACTATAGAATATGCATGAAGAAGTACTTCATGTTAGGGGGGAAAAAACAGAGCTGGACATCGCCAAAATCAATCACTACAGAATGAAAATCGACTCGTGAGAAATAAATTGGTAAAAGAATTTTACAACAAAAATTCACCTGTGAATTTGGAGTCTGTGGTATGGAGGTAGGAACAGATTCTTGGGGTGGCGGTGTTACAATACCACAGAACACACTGGGGCTCCAATCTTCCTTCTGCATCATCTGGCTGTTTGTGAGATTAAGGGTTGCATTTCCTTTAATTTGATGTTGATATGCTGACTCTAAAAAGTAACAGACAATATAAAATTAGTATTTACTTTGGAACTCAGAAAAATCAGATGCGATTTACTAACGAATATCTGCATCAACAGCAGATTACAGCTTGTTTGCAAAAATTAAACACATTTTATTCTTTGACGCTATACTAACATTATCCCACTTATGCATCTCGGGTAGCTCGCTTGTTATCGCTCATGTAGGACATTGCCTAAAACATCAGTCAATGTCTACCAGACTAAAGATCGCACGAGTAGCAGTGGCACCCAAATGCGCGATGTGTAAGCCGAGAGAGGGGAGTCCGGTAGTAGTGGGGGTCACAAGGCCTCAGCTGCTTTGACGCACCGATTAAATTAATTTAGCCGGATCAGTGGATTCTGTGGACAACATGTAGGCATATGGTAGCGGCCAAGTTCTTTACAGTGAAGAATACAAAAGTCTGACATTACCTAGGCTGCCATGTTCCAAACTGTAGCGTGGCCATAATGATGGCGGGAGGCCTTGATGGCCGACTTCTTCCCAAGGTCTCTCCATAGCATCCAATGCAGCAAATTTTGCACATTCCAAAATCACATCATGGTGCTCCATCTTTATCCATCTGCATTTAAACCAGGTATATATTAGCCCGAATGACAGATACTGTGTTAGTCGCCAATATCCAGTGGCAGATGAAATACAAAACGCAAGAGGAAACGAGATGAACTAGAACTTCTGTTTCACGGGCACAGTTAACGTAACTACAATTTTCTGTGATCGGTACATAAAGTTATAGTCAGTGTGCATTTTATCCGCATAAAGGAAGCGTGTCCAACAAATAAAGACAACAAAAAAATGTCAAAACACAATGCTACTACATAATTTATGACACCATTCAACACAGATGTAATAAATACATGCCTGGAAGTAGCAATTTCTGCATCTTTGGAGGCTGTCACTAGAAGAGGATGCATTTTAACCGTGTCCAACATTGGCTGGAAAAAACACAAAGCCATTTCAATTCATAACGTTGCAAGCTTCTAAGATATGCGTCAGAATAACGGCAAGAAGAAAACAAACACTTTGTAATAAAGACATCTTTTAATTGCAGTTTAATTTTCATTAACTGTACTCCTGGAAAGTTGCTGAAACATAATAAGAAAAAAAATTGACAGTGGAACCACGGTTCTGGAGAATCTGACGTAAATACGACTTTGTATTTAAATTATCATCATCAAACTCTTTTAGCTTCAATGTCATCCATCTTCCTAGCTCTACATAGTATGACGCTACACACAATCGCAGGAGTAGCGTGAAGTGTGATGCGCCTTTATTCGTATAAATAAATGTTTGTAGAACCTAAACATTTTGTGATATGTAAAATCTGAAAACAGATATGGAAAGCTCAAGAGGTAATACGTATTTCGTATGCAATATGTCCGGATACATCTCTTACGGTTTTCGAGAGGTGGGCGCTTAACGCGCCAGATGCATTAAAAATTGTACACATTGGTTCATTAAAATTACAATAAATGTATAAACAATTATAATTACAATAAAATACATTGCAGATTCTTAGGGGTCCTTATTTACTGATCATTTTACATACGAGTTACATTACCCTTACTCTTACCATTCCTGAGGAATGAACGTTTAAAGGTAACTCGGCGCTGCATCTTACACATCTTCGTAACTAACGCTGTTTTTGCCGAATGACCCTTCCGTATAGACGTATTTACGCCAAAAAACATTATCACGTTTACTCAAATACTACATGTACCTCTATAAAAATGTTTCCTCAAAAATCAAGGTGCGTGTTATGTTTGAGGATAACCTTTCTGGTACAGGCATGTTCACCAATTAAATCATCAGCGATCAGCAATCACGGTCAAGAATATTACGCCAGATGTTGATTTCCCAACATTCAAGAGGAGAAAACACTGCATGCATATTAAATACTACAAATAGCATTTCAAGATGAAGACTTACCTTTATCGTATGACTAAATATGCCGAGGTTCTCCCACTGGCCGTATTCATTACGCAGGTACGAGAGGAAATTGCAAGGATACATCCCATATAAGCGATGAAACAGAGTATACAACCCCACCTGCAGGTGTAAAAGATGCACCTCCGGCAACTTGTTAGGATTGTTGGTGTTCCACGCAGCGAGACGGCTGAAACGACGAGATTAGGTAATGAGGTCTCGCACAGTACCACAAACGCCAGTTTTATGATGTACTAATTAAAGTCCAGCTTCCTATATTAATTTAACTATTATAAATGTCAGCATTATAAAAAAAAATTGGTTGCAAGAACAGACGCAAATTTTCCTGAAGACATTTATGACCCAATAACTTAAATAAAAATTATTGACACGATCGATAAAAGTTATGTACATAACCGAATTACAATAAACCTGTTCGGCTTGGCTACCAGAAACGTATACGGCAATATCAACGTTAAGTAACAGCCAATTCATGAGAGACATCACAATGCTCCTGCGACCCTGACAAAAACCTAACAGGAGTTTCTTTTATTTTATGCTACTTGTTACTTGCAGTGGCTGTACTTTCACTGACTATAATAAAAATAATATGATACCTGAATACTTCAAAGATATCTTGAAGGTAGCTTCCAATTAAAGCAGGAATCATCGGAAGAAGAACAATTAACACGAGGAGAGCACTCATAAGAGGTAGAATATCAGTCTCTGCCTGAAAATCAGAAACACTTAACGATACCGTACTTATTCAAGCAATAATAATGAAAAATAATAGGACAAGAAACAGTAATAAGCAGTAAGAGGTCAAGAAGACCAAAGAAGAGATGGCAAACAACCACAATAGACCACACGACCCAATACCTAACTAACTAACTAACTAGATGGCTTACCGAACCCGAAGGTTCATCACCGAATTAACCAAAGCCCTCCACCGGACCCTGTCCTGGGCCAACAAAATCCAGTTTCCTTCAACTCCTATCTCCCATAGATCCCGCCTGAGATTATCCTCCCATCTACGTCTAGGTCTCCCCAGCGGTCTCTTCCCTTCAGGTTTCCCAACCAGTACTCGGTGCACACCTCTTGTCCCATCCATGCGCGCTACATGTCCCGCCCATCTCACTCTTCTCGACTTAATCACCCTCACAATACTGGGGGAGCAGTACAGATTTTTAAGCTCGTCATTGTGCAGTTTTCTCCACGCCCCATCGTCTTCCCTCTTAGGCCCAAATATCCTCCTCAACCCCCGATTCTCAAACACCTGCAATCTGTGTTCCTCCCTCTGAGTGAGAGACCATGTTTCGCACCCATACAAAACAACAGGCAATATTATTGTTTTGTATACTTTAATTTTCAGGTTCTTAGAAATCAGACGGGAAGACAAAATATTTTGGACTGAGAAGTAGCAAGCATTTCCGGAATTTAGTCTCCTCCTAACTTCCTCACAAGTATCATTTTGATTTGTTATTGTTGTTCCCAAATATTTGAACTTTGTAACCCTTTCAAAGGATTTATTAGCCACCCTAAGATAATTTTGCCCGCCTGTCTTCTGATGACGAGATACTAACATGTACTTAGTTTTTTCTGAATTTACTTCCAGCCCCACTTGTCTACCAGCCTCTAGTAAAACTTCTGCGTTCCTCTTTATTGTATTTATATCGTCCCCCAATAAATTAACATCATCAGCATATGCCAATAGCTGATGTGTCCCATTCAATTGCAAACCCTCCTGCCTACCTTGGACCTTCCTGATGGCGTATTCTAGCGCAAAGTTAAAGAGCAAGGGAGACAAAGCATCTCCTTGTTTTAGACCGTTCTTGATGAGGAATGTCTCAGATACATATTTACCTACTCGAATTTTGCTGCAGGTTTCATTTAAGCACATTTTTATTAGACCCACTAGCTTCTTTGGTATACCAAATTCAATAAGAATATTATATAGCACTTCTCTCTTCACAGAGTCATAGGCTTTTTTGAAATCTATAAATAACTGATGTACAGTCCCACCGAACTCCCATTTTTTCTCTAGTATCTGACGAATGCAAAAGATCTGATCAATCGTTGATCTGTTTCGTCTGAACCCACACTGATGATCCCCAATAGTTTCATTCGCATATGGGGTTAATCTTGCCAAAAGAATGTTGGATAGAATTTTGTATGAGGTTGATAGCAGCGATATTCCTCGGTAATTACCACACTCAGTCTTGTCCCCCTTCTTATAAATAGGAATAATTATGGATTCCTTCCATTGATGTGGCATCTCTTCCTTATCCCAAATTAACTGAATAAGCTTATGGATCCTCATATGCAACCCTTTGCCACCTGCTTTAATTAATTCGGCCGGAATCTGATCAATTCCTGGAGATTTATAACTTTTCAACTTCCCAATGGCTAGTTCCACTTCATCTAAGCTAGGTTCTGGCACCAACAGTTCAGCTGTATGCATTTTAATCTGTCTAATATCACCAGTATTATGAACATTTAAGAGCTCGCTAAAGAAATTTTTCCCCCTATTCACCATTTTTATTGGATCTGCAAGCAAATTGCCACTATCATCCTTTACCAAATTGGTCTGGGGTTGATATCCTTTCTTAAAGTTATTAATGCCTCTGTACAGGTCTCTGATGTTTTTTTCCTTATTATTTGTCTCAAGTTCAGCAATTTTGCCCTTCAGGTATTCCCTTTTCTTAGTCCTAAAGGTTCTACTAGCCTCACGTCTCACGTTACATAGATTATCCGCATTTGTTTTGTTTGGGTTCTGCAACCATTGAAATTTTGTTTGCTTCCTTCGATCTATTAATTTTGAACATTCTTCATCAAACCACGGTTTATTTTGCTTTCTCCTGTAGTATCCTAGTTTCTCTTTTGCTGAAATTTTGATGCAGTTTCTGACATTTTCCCACTCCCTGTTGATGTCCACACTTTCATTATCCTCATTTGTCTCTAAAATTTGAAACCTATTCGAAATTTCAACTTGATATTGTTCCTTTGCCTCTCCCTCACTTAATTTTTTCAAATCAAATCTTTCTGTGTCAAAATTTTGTTTAGTTCGTCTACTTACTGAAAGCCGCTCCCTCACTCTTGCTACCACCAGATAATGATCAGTGTCGCAATCTGCTCCTCTGAATGATCTCACATCAATTACATTTGTCTGCCTTCTCTTATCTACTAAAACATGATCTATTTGATTGTGTGTTCTGCCATCTGGGGAAGTCCAAGTGTATTTATGAACATCACGGTGTGGAAATTTTGTACTTTTTACAATTAAATCTTTTGACGTAGCGAAGGTCACTGCTCTGACGCCATTATCATTACTAAGTGCATGGAGACTCTCGCTGCCTATTGTGGGTTTGAAGACCCAATACCTACAGAATTGTAATGACATTTAATATTATACAATTATCATGTTTTCTTAGACATATATTTTAAATCAATAATATCTGCAAATGAAGAAATGTTCTTAAGAAGTCAAACACAATTCAGCCATTTCTGGAAAAATCAACTATTAGAACTGATGAAATAAAAGTAAAGCTGTACCACTATGTGCCATGTAGGCGCTTGCGGGGAGAGAAGGTATAGCTCCTACTCATTCATAACCTCGGCCGAGCTTTACCCCCGGGAAACGATCCCGGTACCTGTCGGACAGGAGGCTGGGTGGGCCCCAGAACCAGTCTGGACACAGGCTAGAGGAAAAATCCTCTGCCCCCGTCAGAGATCAAACCCCGGTCGTCAAGTCCATAGCCAGCCACTATACCGACTGATAGATGAGACTTCTGGTTCTCACAGTGGTAAGTGTGATGATGACTGTCTTCTGGGATTTTGTGCCATATAGTCTGATAAAATCTGACCGACATTTCTGAGGCAGCTTCCATCATCAGAATGATGAGTAAGAAATGTGAGAAATGAAACCAACATGTTGATCATCTTCAGAGCTCTGCTGCCAAGAAGTCTTGTATGTGGTCACCAACGTTTTGAGGGAATACGTTACCTCTATCCAAGGTAAAAAAATCACTTTACCCCGACACTGGAGGTGACGCAGTTATCTGAAAAATTGGTAGCCACCTACAAGACACACAGCAACAAAACCCAGAAGTCTACAACAGACATTCCTCGCTGTGAAAACCTCAAATCTCAGAAAGCTACATATTTCACGTAAGTCCGGAAACATAAGCATGTACATCACCGTAAGTACGTACCTTCAGTAACTTCAGCAATTCCTTAAGAAGGGTATGCTGACCAATTTTGTAAATCCATGCTGGATGCCTTCTCACGACATGACCTAGCAATGTCAGTCCTTGAAGTTTTGATGAACCTTTCAGTAAATCCGACAACCTATGGAAGAATTGGTTTCAGTGCTTTACTCCAGCCTTTAATCTAGAATCATTACATTTTCAACTAAGCAGAAAAGAGTTATGAATATCAATTATATGAAGGATTCCGGTTAAGTCAGTTTTCAATTGACAAATAAATCTACTCTATGGTACAAGTTACAAAACAAATCAGAACACTATAAAGCAAACACTTTAACGAGAACCTTTCTTCCATAAAAGGTAAAAAATGTGTTGGTACTTCAAAACCACATCCCTTCGAGCAGAAGGGTTAAAGAACATAACCACCCATCTCCATACTAAATTTAAAATTCCTAGTACCAGGAGTTCTAAAAGGTAAATATAGATTTGATTCAGCTTCCAAGTAATTTTACATTCCTCAAAGAAAAAATTACCTGATCAAACAGTGCATATTTTTTTAAAGATATTACATCATTTCAGGAAACTGTACTAAAATGGGGGTAGTATCATTCCCTTGTCAGAAGTTCATAAAGTTTGTCCCGCTATGTGCTGTATAGGCGCTTGGGGTGAGTGGAAGTATAGCTCCTCTCTTCCTTGACCTCGGCACTAGATGGGGGTGAGTGGTCAGCATCACGCCCCGGCCGGCTTTACCCCCGGGAAAGGACCCCGGTACCCATAGTAGAGGAGGCTGGGTGGGCCCCAGAGCCGGTCTGGACGCAGAGGCTAGAGGAAAAATCCCCTGCCCCCGTCGGGGATCGAACCCCGGCCGTCCAGCCCGTAGTTAGTCACTATACTGACTTAGCTATCCCGGCTCATTGTCAAAAGTTCATAGGTAAGCAATATTGTTATAACCAATCACAGGAAATTAAAAAGTAAGAGTTTGGGATGGTCTCCAATAGTATAATGTTCGTAACAAATTTTATCATAATCCATCCAGCAGTTGAGCTGAAATGTGCAGGCACGCAGATCATCTTAAATTATATTTTGTCATAACAAGCAAAGAACGCATGATGAGAAATCACCCAAACTGATGTTTACGTTGCAGTTTTAACCATTCTTCAGTCCCTTCTGAAAATCCAGAAGTTTAAAATGATCTAATCATAACTGAGAATTAATATGATTTATTCGTTCACCAAAAGCTGAGAAAGCAATGGGGCATAATATTCTGGGAGAGATGGTATAATAAATGGCTTTTAATTTATGATACTTCCTTGAAAATGTGTCTCAAACAGAGAAAAGTGAAACCAGCCCACACAGACAAACAGAATGGTCTGATAATCAACTAAGAGCGTGTTTCAAAAGAGATGCAGAACCACTGTTTTAGGTCAAGGATATAACCTAGTAAACTATAAATGCCTTTGCAGCTGACAACTTCAAGGTTACTCACCTGTCAAAAAGGTACCTATCATGAGGCTCACGAACACCCACCAATATTTCAACCGTCCTTGATGAGCTAGTTGATAGGTAGTAGTCACACAGACCATTCACAAGCCATGATTCTTTGGCTGGAATGAAATATGGTGAAGTCTTTCATATGTAATAGTAATATTTGCTCAGCAATAAATGACTTACATATGGATCCAAAAAGGGAAAAATTTCACAAATGTTCTCAGTAGCAGTTTCCATGTATTTCCTTACTTGCCACAAACAGGGCGTGACAGATGGCCATATTTAATTAATTTCATAACAATAACATTTCACATACAATCTCATCCCAGTATCTAAAGATACCAGCACATGAGAGGCGCCTTGAATATATGTGCATGTATCCTAGTTTGGTCACTTCTGCTTACATTACAAATGTTCATGCATATTCATCACAGGGTTAACTCTTAATTTAAAATTTAAAAGTACTTACTACCAAGGAAGATTTCACGAAACGTATCCTTGCTTTCTTCTACAATTTCAGGTTGATTTGATTCAAGCTGATTTAACAGCTCGGCTACCTCCATGATTTGTTCCATTCATCAAGCCAAAAGGGTAATTATTTTTACCAGAGAAAAGTTCTGCACACCAAAAAGAAGCCTTTTACGCGAAGAAGCCATTGTTACATGATTAGTATTACCTGGAAATAGCAAAATTCGTATAAATTCAAATACCACTGTGACTACCACAGTTAATGTAATGACAAGCTAAATACACATTTAGTACACATGTAGTGAACCTCGCAAATGTCTTATGTTTCTATGAAACACAGAAATCAACCTCACTTAGCACCTCTTTAGGTGATTGTTTTAAATACTGAACAGAAGAGAATAGAATTTATTTATATTCCACACTTCCTTCATTGGCCCAAGCCAAGGATTTTGTACATGTCATGTAACACACATAAAACACTTGTTTCTAACACAAATATAAATTACATAGTTATAAAACTATTACTTCATGAATGCTACACATTCTTATAGCTCAATTATCAGAACTAAAAATATTAAAATTAAATGCCCATGACAAACCAGATAACGAACAAATTCCAAGTAAAACACAACACACTACACCCACCTTAGAGCCAATGTGACATATAACGTTGTGGAGTACGTATTAATCAAAGTAAGGTTAACTGCCATTAAAAAAGCATTTGTTAGTTATGTTAGTTTATAAAGTAATATATGGTTATTTTAACTGTCATTTTAAAACCAGAAACGTATCCCATAACTTTTATACTGTACTAAATGCTAGATCAAAAGAACAAAGTATGAGTCTTGCACGAAAATCTTACTGCAGTAATACACTATCACAGAATAATACGAAAGTCTTCAAACAGTAATAAATCTAAATGTTTACAATTTGGAATTCATTTTATAGCTGATATAAATTCATCAAAATCAAGGTATGTTTTATCTCTATGAAGACTATTCATAAAGAATCGTGCAAACATCTAACTTGGAAAGAGTTATCCGTGTGTTTAAAGTAAGATGCAATATATTCAACATTATTTACCATTTTGTTTGAAAAATGTGCTAGCGTAATTTGCTAGCAAAAATCCATCACACAATAATTCTGTACAGACCCTTGGAACAAAAGCAAATTAGCCTCTGATACTCGAGGCTCTGCTTTCTAAATCTCGCAGAAATAATCGAAAATTCTCTTTCAATTTGAGTAATTCATGGTGTTGCCAGCAGTGGCGGTAGTATACATCCAACTGGCGTTCAACATTTTTAATGATGTACCAACAAGAGAATTGGTTCTTCTCCTCTCCGTTCCTGTAGTTTGATTTATTAACAAGTTTATTTATTTAATAGGTTTTACAATGTCGTGGACATCTTCCGGCGCTCATTTCAAACAGAATATTTAAATAGTGTTTCTATTCATTGATTGTCTTCTTCCATTTTTCCCTGTCACCTTCTTCCAACCCTATCTCCCATATCATTTTTGATATTCCTTGCATTCAAGTAATATTAGGTTTTCCCCTCTTCATTCTGGATACCACTCTAATACCTTCTTAGGGAGCCTGTCATCCCTTTTACATGTCCATACCATTTTAACTGCTCGGTTTTTATAAAATCTTCAATATAATTTTATATATTCATTTTTTCCTTAATCAGCGTACTCCAAATTTTGTCCATCCTAAAAATCTTGGCAGAAGGTCTCCAAAAATCCATTTCTATGAAATGTAGTTTTGATTCTGTCTTTGCCTTTAAATGCCATAATATATTGAATGTAGCAACAACGTGGATGATGTCTTCTGGGTTGTAAATGCCAGTGTGAACTATGTAGATGATGTTTCAGCCCTACAGCTGGAGGTAGTATTTTCCTCTAAAATGTCAGTACCTACTAGTCCACATGTGTTACAACATAAGACTAATGCTGATTATCCTCACCACCAATCACAACTTCAAATAGTAGAACTACAGCTTCATAGATGTAAAAGCCCTCATGGTATCCCATTATCAAAAATGGTTTGCAGTAAATGTGACTGTGTAATGCCCTAGCCATCTGAAATATAATTATATGGAAAATGGTCGTAAAATGAAATGTATTTCGACCTCTGAAATAGTTGAAGGTAAGAACGTCACATTCTCCAACAAGTTAAAAAAAAAGTATTTAAAAATTGTTGCAGAGTTACAAAATGAATATGTTAAACAAACTGATTTGTGTATATTAACAATTAAATTAAACAAATAAATCCGTGGCGTAGCAGCTCCAGAGAGCCAAAGCCGACTACTTTGACTGCTGGCCTCACGTCCACATGCCTAAGCAGAGGTGAACGATCATCCAACCAGATATAGGCTGACGTGTGGTCAGCACGACGAACCCCCAGCCATTGCTAGCTTTCCTGACCGGATTACGCTACTCATTGTACCTCCTCACGATGCTGGGTTGGCATGATGCCTCAGACTGCGCGGCTACGGCGCAGGATGTATATTAACAATTATATAATAAAAATTATATTTCAGAGTTACTGAATCTCTGTAACATCACTCATACAAGATTTCTGGTCCAAATGATTTTAACCTAACAGAGAGAGAACTCTCATGGATTAGATGTATTGACCATATATTCCAGTCAACCAGCAACTGAACTGTACACGATCCAGCAATCCCATAACAACATTGCTTATCAATGATTTTTGTCATAATTTGTGACAAACATGTTTAAATAAAATACCAAGACTAACAAAATATAACAAAGTATAAATAACGTATTTTTTAATAAAATATGATTTTGAGCTGTTATGGCATTTCAGTGAGCACATTTAAATATATCCACCTGAGAAAGTAATGTTCAACAAAACACTTCACATACATATAGACATCATATTCCATACATTTTAATAACACATAAATAAATAAATTTAAACAGCACAAAGATGACCATCTTCTTGGTTGTAGCACCCTGTGGTCTGGTAGAAGTTTTCCAATGTTTCAGAGATCCTTGCCGCCTCCATCACTGGGTGATGGCTTGCAACGATAGTTGTCTTCTGTGTTGTAGCGCTATGTAATTTGGTAGAAGATTACCAAAGTTTCAGAAATCCTTGCTGCCTCCATCATCAGGGCAATGAGGCAAGGACTTTTGAATCTCAGGTAAAGTACCAGACTACACAGAGGTACAGCCCAGAAGACAGCCATCTTCATACTCACCACTGTAAAAACCTCAAATCCTACACATCACATATTCTACAGTATCAATTTGTGCAGTTACTCAGGAACTAGGTTTCTTTTGCGCAGGCAGACTATTTAAAAGAGTCTCCGATCTTACTTTCAACTCTTCAGCAAACTGATAAAATAGATGAAGATACTCCATGAAATCGAAAGTCACCTGCAAACACAAATCACAGCACAATGTAAAAATCACTCCAGTATCCTGTTTTTATAAATAATATTTGATTTTTAAGTGAGCGACTTACATTTTCCAAAGACCAGTCTTCACGGATGACAGTAGAATTCACAT